ACCACCGCTCCGACCGCCACCGCCACCACCGCCACCACCGCCACCGCCGCCACCGCCGCCGCCGCCACTACTGCCACTGCTTCCTCCGCCGCCCCCGCCTCCACCGCCGACCCCACTCCCACCAGCGCTCCCGCCACCGCTCCCTCCAGCACCGCCTCCCCCCCCACCTCCCCCACCTCCTCCCCCCCCAGCGCCACCCCCGCCACCCTTGCCCCCCTTGCCCTTGCCGGTGCGGCGCCTCCCACCAGGAGCAGAAGCAGCGCCAGCAGACTCAGCACCAAGGAAGTCAACAGCAGCAGCAGTAGCGTAGGAGGGAGCGAGGGGAGAGGGAGAACACCCCTCAAAGATGGGGGTGCGAGGAGCGCCACGAGCAGCACCGACAGCGACAATGCTCTTTTCGGCCGCTAGCAGCTGCTCCTCTAGGAGGGCGACTGTGAGCTCAGTGGGACAGCGAGCAAGGAAGTGGTCTCGAACTGAGCTGAGGGTGTCAGGGAGACGGGTGACTATGAAGTGGAGTGTCCAGTACAGTGGAGGGGGATTCTTAGCGCAGAACTCGGTGGGAAGGGCGGCACGCAGGCGAGCATCACTAGTGCGAAGGTGAGTGATAAGATCGGCGACTGTAGCAAAGGTGGACAGCTCAGGGAACAGGTACGGCAGCATGAGGCGGCTAAGCTCGGCTGTGGCAGGCGAGGAGTAGCGAGCAATGACAGCATCGTACAGGGCCTTAGCGGATTTGCAGTCGCCAAAATGCTCGAGCTCAGCTAGCGGCAGGTGACTGCGAATGGCTAGGCGAGCAGCTGCGTCACGAGTCTGCCAGTGGGAACGAACACTAAGCTCAGCTGTGGCAGGAGGGGCAGGTGCAGCACCAGACGCGTAATCATAGAGCGACACATGCTCCTTGCTATCGCTCAGAAGGAACAGCTGCAGGTCATCCAGCCAAGTGGCGAACTTCACAGGGCGGCCCTCAGCATCGAACGACAGCACGCGGATGGAAGCCATAGCGACAGTGCGACTGAGCAAAGGAAGCTGCCGCAGCGCTGCAGGTAGGTAGCTCGGCGGGAAGCGCGGCGGGCGGGCGACGCGGCGAGCGGGCAGTGCGGGGGGCGGGCTGCGAGGCGGGCAGCGCTGCAGGCGGGAAGTGCGGCGGGCGGGCTGCGAAGCGGGCAGCGGGGCGGGCGGGCGACGCGGCGAGCGGGCAGCGCGGCGGGCGGGCTGCGAAGCGGGCAGCGGGCGGGCGGGCGACGCTGCAAGCGGGCAGCGGGCGGGCGGGCGACGCTGCAAGCGGGCAGCGAGGCGGGCGGGCGACGCTGCGAGCGGGCAGCGCGGCGGGCGGGCTGCGAAGCGGGCAGCGGGCGGGCGGGCGACGCTGCAAGCGGGCAGCGAGGCGGGCGGGCGACGCTGCGAGCGGGCAGCGCGGCGGGCGGGCGACGCTGCGAAGCGGGCAGCGGGCGGGCGGGCGACGCTGCAAGCGGGCAGCGGGCGGGCGGGCGACGCTGCGAGCGGGCAGCGCGGCGGGCGGGCTGCGAAACGGGCAGCGCGGTAGGCGGGCGACGCTGCGAGCGGGCGGCTCGGCGGGCGGGCGACGCTGCGAGGGGCGCGCGAGGGCGCTAACGAGAGGCGCACGAGGGCGCTAAGGCGCACGAGGGCGCTAACAAGGGCTCGGCGGGCGGGCGCGCGAGGGCGCTAACGAGGGCGCGCGAGGGCGCTAACGAGGGCGCACGAGGGCGCTAACGAGGGCGCACGAGGGCGCTACGAGGCTAGGGCACGGGGTAGCGTGGTAACCGCATGCGAGCGGTGGTGGGCCCTTAAAAAAAACGGTCGGTAGGTCCTAGGGACCTCCTGCTCTGAATACCATGTTAACAGAACTAGGCAAGAATGGGTGCATTGAAAGAAACAGTTGGGTACAAGTAGCTAACCCTAGTTGGGTTTGTACCCTGTATTGGCTACCCCACTACAGCCTACCTACATATAAATAACACATTACAACTTAACAAGAACGCGTCCATGTTCGATTGTGGTGGCGAATTGATCGCGCCGGGCAGCTCGAATATTGAAATATTGCACTTGCAGCAGGAAAATTTTCCATTTTGCTGCAGATTGATTCTGGGCCCTCGATCCTCGACATTATCAAAGCGTCAATTTTTTTTCTCAGATCGGGCAGATCGTGAATCCCATTATTGCCCTTGAATTATATCAACAAAATTGCATTATTCACAAATTCTGCAGAAGCCTGAACCCGAGTCATTTTCGGCGAGGAAATGACGGAGCGCCGTGTTTTCTAGTTTTCAATTCCAATGGGCAGTGGTTTTGACAGCGCATCGCTCCGCGCTCACGTCCAATACCTTGGAGCATATTTTTTCTCCATTTCCCCTTTTGAGTCCACAAACACAGATTGTTTTTACGATACGAGTTATTCTAAATATTTGTCGAGTCCAGGCAAACGCGCAGCTTGGGACTCCTAATGAATGGTATGCCACCTAGAGGGCATCTGTTGAGATAAGCGGTAGTCTTAGGAGCCATAGCTAGGAGAGTCCTAGCTAGGCAAGAGACAGTTTAGGCAAAAGGCGAAAGAGGGGTTGCACTAGCAAGAATGGGGATACAAATAGCAAACCCTAGAAGGGTTGTACTCGCTACAGAGCACCCCACTACAGGCTAGAGCATAATATTCTGACACACCCCCATAGCCAAAGTGGGGTGTAATCAGCAGAGCAAGCAAAGCAGTACAAGCTCAGGGTGGATCACAATGTCACCACACATTCTGAGCACAAGTTCAAGAAGCAATAGTTTAAAGTTCACAATTATGAGCAAAGCTAGTGGTAGTCACAACGGGCAAGTGAGGAGGAGGAAAGAGACTATGAGAGGAGAGGAGGTAGTGGGCGGCAGCTGAAGCTGCTGGCACACGGCGCAACTGGAGCAACTGGCACACGGGCTACTGGAGTAACTGGCTCCGCGGCTAAAAGTAGCGGCAGACGAGCAACGGACTCACGGGCGACTGGAGCAACGGGCTCACGGGCGACTGGCGCAACGGGCTCACGGGCGACTGGCGCAACGGTCTCACGGGCGACTGGAGCTGCTGGCTTGACGGCGGCCACCCCCTTCAACCTCCCCAAACTATCCCACTCCCCCTAACACACACCCGCTGCTACACCGCTAGCTTCACTCCCCTTTCACCCCCCCCCTTAGTACCACTCCGTCGGCTCCAACAGGTCCACCCCCCCTCAGCGGCAGCTGCAGCACAGGGAGACGGAGGAGGAGGAGGAGCAGGGAACGGCATTCAGAAGCTGCACCCCCATACCCCCCACCCCCAAACCCTAATCCAGGAGAACGGGCAGAAGGAGGGGTGGGGCGCCTTCAGAAGCACGGGGGACAGCGGGGAGGACAGGGGCAGCGAAGAACGGGCCGCCCACGGGCCTGGCACAGCCTCCCGAACCGCGCGCAGGCGGTCCGAGCCGCGCGTGGGCCTGGCGCAGCTCGTACGAGCCGCGCGCGGGCCTGGCGCAGCCCGTACGGGCCGCGCGCGGGCCTGGCGCAGCCCGTACGGGCCGCGCGCGGGCCTGGCGCAGCCCGTACGGGCCGCGCGCCGGCTGTACGGGCCGCGCGCAGGCCACGACGGGCGACGGGGGGCGACGCGCGGGTCCCCGTCGCCCGTCGCAGCGCCTCCCGGGGGCGACGCGCCGAGTGACGGGGCAGAAACCCGCCGCGCGCCTCGGGGCACACGGCGGGCAGAGAACCGCCGCACGCCTCGGGGCGCACGGCGGGCAGAAAACCGCCGCGCGCCTCGGGGCGCACGGCGGGCTGAAAACCCTAATTTCGACGCCGCGCACCACGGGGCGCGCGGCGGACAGGGAGTAGCAGTAGCAGCGGAAGCAGTGAAGTGGGCCCACAGGCCAGGAACGTTAAGCTCTGATACCATGTTGAGATAAGCGGTAGTCTTAGGAGCCATAGCTAGGAGAGTCCTAGCTAGGCAAGAGACAGTTTAGGCAAAAGAAGAGGGTTTGCACTAGCAAGGATGGGATACAAATAGCAAACCCTAGAAGGGTTGTACTCGCTACAGAGCACCCCACTACAGGCTAGAGCATAATATTCTGACAGCATCAACCCTAAACACCATGAGGCAAGGTGTTTAGGGTTGATGCCTCCCAAATGGCTTGTCATCCGAGTGGGTTTTAGTTTTGCCATTGGCCACTATACTGAAACCAGCTAAAATTCGTATTTGCCCTTCTTGTCTTTTGGTCACAAATAATGGGAAATACCATAATAATATGCCCGCAGGAATTGGGCGCGAGCGCGGAGAGAGTCGCTGTCAAAGCCACTGCCGAAACGAATTGAAAACGCGCAAACAGGGTGGTCCGTCATTTCCTCCATTTTCGGCGGATATCCCCGCGTCGCACACTCGTCCTTCTTGGCCCGCTGCTAAGGACGTGTTGTAGGATCGATCGTCCTAAGGGATCGATCGTCTCTCTGAACCGATCCCAACTGTTGTTGAGCATTGTAGTAAATGGTTACCATACTACATCGTCACCACTGTGCACGACCTAGGAAACTGGTGAAAGCTGGCTCGATCCCCTCGGCACTGAAAATCGATCGTGAGATTGACGATTAAAAAACCTACAGTCGCGAAACAATTTCATCATTCGCATACTATCTCGCATACAAGTGTTATACGGGCCGCAAGATTCGAAGAGACATTGACGACTCGTGTGTTCGATGTTTCCGCGTTAGTCAAGCGAAATAACACAGTCGCAATCCTCCAAGTGGTACCACGCTTGGACGGTCGTGGTACAGTCTATTCGGAAGATCGATATTGTTGTGAACCGAGGATCTCCAACAAAGGATCAGTTTACAGCCACTATCCTTCGATTTTCTAACTTGCAACACGCCCTAACGAACAGATTTTGCCTATAAATTCCGCCGCTGAACATGCACGAATCATCAGTCCCACTTCCGTTCTCATATTCAGTTCTCAATCTCTCCCAGCTAGCCCATCACGCTAAAACGCCATGGCTCGTGCCATTCTTTCCGTCTGCATCGCGCTTTTCCTCGCTGCAATTCTGGCGCTCTCTTTCGCCCAAGGTACGGCCCATACTCCATGGCGAAATCTAAGCCGAGTCCCTGTGAATGGCCGCGCTTATGAATAGCGCCCCCACCCCGTGTTGCGTTTATGTCTCCTCACTATCACCTACGCTGAAGCCCACGCGATCCCACACACCACCCGTAGTTCAATGCGATTTCCACATCACTCGTTTTTTCCACATGCAAGGCGTTCAAGATTGGATTTGGTTCCTGCAAAAAACCCATCTTGGCACTTGCAAAATTATGAACCTCGCGCTGCCTGACTCGTAACTACTTCCCCTCTCTCTCTGCCCCCCTACCAGCAACGAGCGCGGCGGAACGCGGCATCGTGACAGAAGAAAACGCGGCGAGTGCCGTCCAGCCTGACGAAGTGCCGCGTCACCGCAAGCTCCCTTCGGATGGTAAGATGACTCATCGGATGGGAGACAGTCTTCTTGCTCGGACAAACCAAACGTAGTTGAAGTTTGAGTCGACAAAAAAAAATCAAATTCAGCGCCACCGCAAGCTCATTCCGGCGGTATCGACGATGATCATGGGAGTCAGTTTACGATGACTTATCTGATGGGAGTCAGTCTACGTGTACGGACAAACCAAACGTAGGATGAATGGATCAGGTCCTCTGCCGTCCCCACTCTGTGCATTCTAGCTGGCTTTTCAGAGTGCTCTTTTATCTCTCCAGATGTCTCATTGCTGATGCCTTTCCCGAATCTCCTATCTTGCCTGCTGCCTCACCGGGTGGTCCCTATTATACTAGGCTCCTCATGCCAAGCCGCGATCGCACGGAGAATGCAAATCTGCAACTCATACTTCAACGCGGGTGACGTGGACAATTATAGGCGTTGCGTGGACGCCAACAACGCGTGGGGTCCCGGTTGCTCTGGCCAGTCGCCAGGGGTACATCACAAACATGGTGGATTGGCCATGGCAGCACTGTGGTTGTCAGCACAACACAGCACAGCACAGCCATGACAGCACTGTGGTTCTCTTGCGCATCCCTTTCCTTGTTTAGTTCCGTTGCTCTCACATGCCATGTGATCTTGTGTGACACTCTCAGATGCCAGATGTCCCTGGATTGTCTTTCTGACATGGCTCATCATATGCGATATTTCCTTCCAATTCAGGATAGACCACCTCACCTCTGTGTTCACATTTTGTTGGTCTGCCTTGCTCCGTTCCCTTGCCCCTCTCAGCCATAAATATGTGCCTTGAAGACCAACAAATCCAGGCCCCCACCTGTGATTCAAAGGTCTATGGAAGCTACTCAAGATGGTGCTTTTAGTTAGTGATGATGTTTCTTTGGTATCTCTCTAGTGTTTTCTTGTTTGTTTCCATGTCACATGATGTTATATCTTACGGCATGGGTTGGTGCTTAGAATAGGGAACGCCTGGGGTTTGTGTGTTTGATCTGAATGCGCATTTATGGTTGTTGTATGCATATCTACTGCTTTGTTGTATTCTGAGTATAGATCTCTTCTATTACCACCTAGTATTCCATTGCCAATACACGAGCTTTGGGATTGGAGAGAGAAGAACAAAATCACTAGAAACCAAAAACATCACTCAAGCCTAGTAACGTACAAAGCAGTCCCACTGCTACGCCACGCGATTCCACGCCCTAGCGCCTCTAAGGTGTCACGCTTGCAAGTTATCTGAAGTTCACAGTCAGCGTCATGTCTGCAATATGGCTCTGAACAGTACTCAGAAGGTCAAAAACCAACTTCTAGGCCATATGGCTCTGCGCCCTGGTGCCTCTTAGGCGTCACGCCTGTGAGTAATTTGAAGGTCACCCTCCCATTGCCAAGCCATGTGGCTCCACTCCCTGGCGCATCTCAGGCGTCACGCATGCATGCACTCCGAAGGCAAAGCCCCATTGCCCGCCCATATTACTCCACGCCTTGGCGCATCTCATGCGTGCCACCTCTCTCACGCCGCTCCTGCCGGAAGTATTACACACACTTATCGTTGCTTTGTGAAATGATCATTAGGAAAATGACAAACTCAACCATAATTTTGTATCCTAAACTAAATTTCGGCACAGATTTCGAACTTCCGCTTTCATTATTCCTGTTACGAGTGTTCGTCTACTTTTCTGCGCAACTATGTTTTACAGCTCATAACAGTATGCAACTTCCGTTTTCATTCTTGCCTGTAATGAATATTATTTTACTGCAGTGCTTCCCACCGCAATTTGCGGCATCCAACAGGACTGCTATGACCGCAACGTGGCATACGCGTCCCTTGGAGACGATCGCGCCTTCGTAGGCTCAGTTTTTGGAGTCGTCAGCACTACTGTTCGTTCGTCAATTTTGAGAAACTCTTTCGCATTCTACATGAGGCTCACTGTTTACTCGTTAGAATACATGGTAGGTTACCCTGTAAACTTCGACTATGCATGGTGCTGATGATGTCAGAATCGACCCTACGTAGGGTTGATCCTCCCCAAGAGATGCGTCCAGCTTTGAGTGTGGTCACAAGTCAACAAGTTGACACTGGGCAGCTCGCACATTGAAGTATTGCCCTTGCAGTACACTTGAAATCAGGAGAAAACTCTAATATTCCTTGCAGATTGTTTCTTGGCCCTCGATCCATCATATTTTCTACTTTTGAAAGCGCCACATATTTTATTTCCTAGACCGTGCAGATGCGAATCGCATTATTGCCCTTGAATTATAATCGAAATTACATAATTCACATTCTTCAGCCCCAGTTCCTATTTTCACGCTCAGTTCTCAATCTCTCCCAGCTAGCCCATCACGTTACAACGCCATGGCTCGCGCCATTCTCTCCATTGGCCTCGCGCTCTTCCTCGCTACAATCCTGGCGCTCTCTTTCACCGAAGGTATCGTAAAAAGTTGTTATGATATGAAGTTCAATGAGAAAGGCATTCATGTATGCTGCAAGAGCCGACTCTACCGAGTACGAAGTTGAGGCGTCAGAAGAAACGAAGCGACACCAGCAACCGTCAGACCAAGACCGATGCAGGCAGTTAACACATTTGAAGTGGAAAGAGTGGGAACAGGTTTGAAACGGGTTCCCGCGCCGCACGGTTTGAATTTCGCTGTAATAAGGGAATGTACCCCTTAGAGTACATGGCTAGTCTAGGTCTCTTCGTATTCCCTGTATTTCATTTATAAACTCGATGTATGCATGTCATTTTCATCTCAGTCATTTTACATTCACTCTGACCTGAGGTCAACACTTCCGCTGCAACAATACCTAACTTCTTTCGTGACCGCACTGTCCTTGAGCCACTAGCTCGGCCAGTTGCTGTCTCCCTTGCTGACCCCTCTGGGGGTCCGGTCATTGCGACCTCCTCCACTGTCCTTCCTTGTCCGGCGGTCCCGTCCGGCACGCTGTCAGGTCTCTACCTCCCCTCGTTCTCTACGAACTTGGTGGTAGGTAGTGCGCTCCAGGACGGGGGTGTTCACCAGTTCACCCCTGCCTACGAGCGCGTGACACACTGCACGTGTGCTCGGACGGGTCGCCACCTGGCTACCTTCACTCGGGAGCCGGGGTCGGACCTTTACACACTGACCACTGAGTCCCCTCAGGTAGCTGCGTCCGCGTCTGCGTCTGCGTCAGGTCAGCTGTCCGCCCCCTGCTCGTGTCGCTCTCTGACGCATGAGACTGTCCTTTGGCACCACCGCCTTGGTCACCCGTCTGTGCAGCGCCTTTGGGCCATGCACAAACGGGACCTTGTTGCTGGTCTTCCCAGGGTGCTCCCTCCCCTTCCCGACTCGCCTGCTCCTCCCTGTATTCCCTGTGTCGAGGGACGGCAGCGCGCCGCTCCTCACTCCTCCTCCTTTCCCCCGACGACTGCTCCCTTGCAGACGCTCCACATGGACGTGTGGGGCCCAGCCCGCGTCCGTGGTCAGGGTCAGGAGAGGTACTTCCTGATTGTTGTTGACGACTTCTCGCGCTACACCACGGTCTTCCCCTTGCGCACCAAGGGTGACGTCCCTGATGTCTTGATCCCTTGGATCCGCAGATCTCGTCTCCAGCTCAGTGAGCGTTTCCGCTCCGACTTCCCTGTCCTGCGTCTGCACTCTGACAGAGGTGGGGAGTTTTCCTCTGGCCTATTGGAGGCCTTCTGTCAGCAGGAGGGCATTGAGCAGTCGTACACGCTTCCGGCCTCTCCACAGCAGAATGGGGTTGCTGAGCGCCGCATTGGTCTGGTCATGGAGGTCGCTCGTACCTCCTTGAGCCATGCGGCTGCCCCCCATTTTCTGTGGCCGTTTGCAGTCCGATACGCTGCGCATCAGCTCAACCTCTGGCCCCGTGTCTCCTTGCCCGAGACTTCTCCGACACTGTGTTGGACGGGAGAGGCTGGCGATGCGTCGCGTTTTCGGGTTTGGGGATCCCGAGCTTTTGTCCGCGACACGTCCGCGGACAAGCTCTCTCGTCGCGCTGTCCCCTGCGTCTTCCTTGGCTTTGTCCCGGACGCCCCTGGCTGGCAGTTCTACCATCCACCTCGCGTCGTGTCCTGGCCTCTCAGGACGTCACTTTTGACGAGTCCGTCCCCTACTACCGCCTCTTCCCCTACCGCACTGCCCCGCTCCCCCCCCCGCCTCTCTTCCTCGCTCCAGGTGCTGAGGTACCAGACCCCCTCCCCCCTCAGGGTGCCGCTCCCTCAGGTGTGTCCCAGGTAGACCCGGGTGAGCCTGTCGAGGTAGCTGTTGACTCTCGTCCTGCTAGGGGTGCTGAGCCTGGGGGTGCTGCGTCTGGGGGTGCTGAGCCTGGGGGTGCTGCGTCTGGGGGTGCTGAGCCTGGGAGTGCTGAGTCTGGGGGTGCGGAGCCTGGGGGTGCTGAGCCTGGAGGTGCTGAGCCTGGGGGTGCTGAGTCTGGGGGTGCTGCGTCTGGGGGTGCTGAGCCTGCGCGTGCTACACCTGGAGGAGCCCTCTCCTCCCAGCAGCTGCAGGAGAGGTACCTCGAGTACTGCCGCCTCCGGAGAGGTGCTGCTGGAGCTCGTCCCGGTACTTCCCCTCCTACCCAGGAGCTCCCCCCCATTCAGCAGATCCGCGAGTGGTACACACGCCGCTGCAGTCTTCGGAGTGGTGCTCCTGGTGCTGCGGACCCTGGGGGTGGTGCTGCTGCTGGTGCTGAGGACCCGGACGTTGGAGCTGCTGCTGGTGCTGCGGACCCGCCTGGTGGAGCTGCTGCTGGTGCTGAGGACTCGGACGTTGGAGCTGCTGCTGGAGCTGAGGACCCGGGCGGTGGAGCTACTGCTGGTGCTGAGGACTCGGACGGTGGAGCTGCTGCTGGAGCTGAGGACCCGGACGGTGGAGCTGCTGCTGGTGCTGAGGACTCGGACGGTGGAGCTGCTACTGGAGCTGAGGACCCGAGCGGTGGCGCTGCTGCTGGTGCTGTGGACCCGGACGCTGGCGCTCCTACTGGTACTGAGGACCCGGCCGCTGGAGTCTCCTCTGCTTCTGGAGACGCTGTGCGGCCGCGACCGTACTTCGTACCGCTCCTTCAGCAGGTTCTTGGGCAGGCTCCTCCTCCTTGTCCTCCTCCCTCCGTAGAGTGTCCCCCGCCTGTCCTGCCGCAGTCACAGTTACAGCCTACCTCGCCTCTCCCTGCTCCCTCTCCTTACACTGGTCCCACAGGAGGTCTTACAGAGCGTCGTGAGCCTGAGTCTCGTCCTGCGTCGCCTGTTCGTCCTGCTCGCACTGGTAGTCGTGTCCGTCGTGAGCGTCCTCCTCCTGTCCCAGGCACTCACTACATGACTCTGCGTCCCTCTACTGCTCCTCAGCGTGTCCCTCTACCGTCTCCTCCTACGTCCTCTTTGCCTGACGTTCCGGACCCTGAGTCTGACCGGTATCGTGCTGAGCACCCTACTGTCACGCGTCTCCTTGCTACTGTTGTCACTGACCCTACCTTTGAGTCCTCGGCTGCGTCTGCTCTGGTCGCTGAGTTGGTTGACTTTGCTGCTGCCTGTCGTCTAGACTACGCTGCTAGCCTTGTTGCTG